TTGGTTTTGTAAAACAAAGAAGAAATATCTAGCGAAATAGATATGCATAGATAAAAGTCTGGAAGGACACACACATGCGCTCAGATCGTTGGAGGTCTCCCTCTGCATGGGGGTGAGGCCTCGAGGTCCCAGCCCAGATCCTAGCTCTGATCCGAGGGCCCGAGCGGTTCGACCCCCACTCTCCCTTCCCTGAATGCGGTGGTAGGAACAGATCCCAAGCCCCAGGGTTGGGTAGGGGAGCTGGTCCCTACTCCTGACACCAGCTTCTCAATCCAGGTCCCCAAGGGCCCGGTGGTCATATGCGGGACGGGAAGATACCAGGTGTCCCATCTCAGAGCTGACCCCCGGCCTCCCTGGCCATACATGGGCTAGAGAGACTTGGTACCCCCCACCCCAGGCCTGGCACCCTGTCCATTAAAGGTGCCAGCCCCACAGCTGCTCTAAATCTGGAGCCTGTGAGGCCTGCGGAAGGGAAGGGGCTAAACCTTGGCACTGTAGTGCCAAGAGGTGTAAATCCCTCCGATGCCCCCCAACCCCCCACCTGGAGTTCACCACCTCCCCAAGCACCTAGCACAGGGGGCTCGTAAGAATCTGAGTTAGAGGTCTCGAGCGCCCCCACCTGGCCTAGGCTCTTCTCCTGGGATGTTGAGTGGGTGCCAGGCACTGAACCCAGGGGCTGGCAGAGGGGAGGGCTGCGGGGGGAGGGGGGGGGGGAAGAGCGCAGCCCAGAGTTCTCAGAGGGCAGCTGCTCTCTCTCTACAGGCCTGTATGTACTGTCTCCCTGGGGTGGGGGTAGCAGCAGAGGCCCTAGTAGTCTTGGGAAGGATCCATTGTCCAAAGGAAGAGGGTTGAAGAAGGGGGCGTAAATTCAAAACTGACTCACTGGGTTAGAGAATGGCCCTTTCCCCACCTGGGCCTCCCCAGGTTTGCCTCCCCATCTGCAAAATGGGGGCTTTCGTGCAAAGTCCAGTAGGAGAGAGAGGCGGGAGGGGCCGGCCTCGCCGGAAAAAGGCTGACTGGGAAACCTGGGCTGGCACTGGTCCAGGAGGAGCGAGGAGTCACCAGGCGGGTGTAGGCAGAGCCCCAGAGGGGCATCCGCTCTTCCCGGGGCACAGCTGTTGGCAGGCGCCAGACGTTCGGGGGGGGGGGCGTGCACAGCTTGGTGGGGGTGGGGGTAGAGAGACAAGGGGGTGCTGCTCTCCCCAGTGGAATGCAGCTGTCCTGCCCAGCACCCCAGGGGTCTGGCAGCTGGTTGGAAAGTTTCAGCCACCCTCCCAGGAGCTGAGTAGTGGTTAACCCCTTCCGGCCTGCAGCCCACAGCCAGTGGCCTGTGTGATGAGAGTCAGATCACCTCACTCATGTGCTATGTGCTACAGCCGCTCAGACTTGAAGTCCAGGGACGCCGGTGTGGCAGGGTCCACCCACACTCCACAGCTGACAGTCCACCAAGACCCTCGGCAGAACTGAGCAGTCAGGTCTGCAAGCCCGGGTGCCACTGCTCCGGGGCCAATGACATGGATGGGTACACTGACAGCGGCCGAGGGGTGGGGCCAGGCTGGACCAAGCACACCCAAGCCCTCCCATCCGTCTCCCCAGAGGCTCATAGTGAGCATGGACAGAAAGGGGCATCCCATGCTGCTCAGCGTTGCCCGAGGCAACCCCAAGGCCAAGAGGGAAAAAATGACCCAGGTCGTGTATGTGACCTTCCAAGCCTGTGCTGCTGCTCTAGGCCTCTGGCTGCAGAAGTGAGGACCATTACCAGCGCCCCCAGCCTCACCCCTATCCTGCTGTGACCCTGCATCCAGAGCCCACTGCCTTCTGGACCCTCAGCTCCAAACCCCAAGCTCCTCTCTTGGCCCCCGGACCCCTGACCTCTTCTCCATCCTGCAGCCCAGGACAAGTGAGTCACCCGTTCTTCCTTATTGTTCTCGATACTTGTCACCTGGGACCTTGCTAGTTCATGAAGATCCTCACTGCATAAATAGCAGGACTACTTCGTCACAACTGGTGGAAGGGGAGGGGTGGATGAGGCCACCCTCTGGCCTGCTCCCTGCAACAATGTCCCCCTGTACCAGGGCAGGATCTCACAGTGGCGCAGGGCCCGGGACGCCAGGCCTCCCATTACAGGGCCCTGGAGCTAATAACAGCCCGTCACAGAGGACGGCTGGAGCCGGTCCCCCGGGGCAGCCGTGGCCACCTCGTTTTGCTCCCTCACCTTGCCTCATGCAACCCTTTCTCCAAGATAAACAGCCCCACTCCTTCAGAAGCTCCAGGCTCTTCTCAGCCTGGCTGTTCTCCTTCAGGGCCTCATCCCTCTAACCCTGGGTTGGTCTACACCAAGCACGGGGCAGTGTGGTCTGACCCCAGCCCCAGCAGGGGCAGCCCTGCCTCCGCCGGCCCACAGCAGACGCTCACCTCCACAGGATGCAGATCTCATGGCAGGGACTCCCACCAAAGCCACGATACAGGTTCACAGGTGCACCTTGTGCACCTGCACACACGCAGCCTCCAGGCAGCGCCATGAGCAAGCGCGTGCACTGCAGGAGGGCTCAGGATGTCCCTCTCCACCCCCGGGGTGGGGAAGGGGCGGGAGGAGAAGGTGATGGGAGGCAGGGGGACCCGGGCAGGGGGGTTGAGTGGGCCGCAGGCTCTGAAGCCAGGGCATCTGGCAGAGGTCCGACACAGACCGCCTGTCCTTGACCCCACCACCCCCTCCTCCCCATCCAGGGCAGCGGGAGACCACACAGGACATCAGGGAAAAGCTGAGGTAGGTCCCAGAGGCTATGGCTGCCGCCTCCTCCCTGCTACAAGCTGCCTGACAGACAAGTCACTACTACAGGCAACAGGCGCTTCTGCTGTCCCCACACCCTCTTCCGGGCCCCCTTTGTAGGCAAACCTCGTCCCCTCAGGGTGGCCGGTCCTCGATCTTGGCCTTCTCAACTCCAGTCCCCATTTTTCTCAACAGCTCCCCTGCGTGGGACAGGAGTAAACCCTCGGGAGACACTGGCCCCACAACAGGGCAGGCCGGCTCTGTTTCTTCAGGCCAGGCCCCGAGAGGGAAGACAGGGCCTTGAGACCAACTCCTGCCCGGGTGCGACCACGCACCTGGGCTCTGCGGCCTGGATGCGGACCATCGCCGCCCTGGTCCCCCAGCGCCATGCAGACCAAGGCTGTGGAGCTGACCGCCTGCAAAGCCTGGCAGCAGAAATCACCTGGTGGCCAAGCTGCCTGCACTGGCAAAACCCAGTCCTTTTCAAAGCAGCTCAGGCTGAGCGGGAAGGGAAGCGCTCTGTGGGCCCCGGGCCCCTGGCTCCACCTGCTCACCCGGGCAAGTGTCCTTTGAGGGAAGAAGCTTCAGTCACAGCTGGAGGGAGGGGCGGGGGCAGCTGAATGAGGCAGCCACTGGGGGAACAATGAGGGGCCCAGGCCACTCAGGAAGGTGGCAGAAGAGGTGGGCACAGACCCCAGTCAGCAGTGACCAAGGGAGGACCCCACCCCCTTCCAACTCTGGCCACTTGCCCTGTGGTGAGGGGACAGTCATCCCAAGGAATTCCTGCCTGAAATTAAAACAGCCTGCAAGGAACAAAGAACTCAGGGGGCAGACTTTTGTCACATGAGAAATCCGTGGTACAACTGGCCCAGTGAAATGCTCTCCCTTCCCCAAGGATTGAGATGCCTTTCTTTGTGCCTCCAAGATACATGCAACCAGGGCACAAACCGTCCCCCAGGGGTGCCCCGCCCACAGAGCTGAGGCGACAATAGTGACAGCCACCGAACAGCTCCAGCCAAGGCCCTGCCAGCACAGATAACTCCCTGCAGCCTGGGGCCCCTCCTAGCCTCCCGCTCCACCTCCCACCTCCCAGCACGTATGACTACCAGCCACGGGCCCGAGGCTGGCGCGTCCAGTGCCCACCGGAAGTGCTCTCAACGCCGGCTCGTGGCCCACTCCCTACTTCTGCTCCCAGCTCAGCCTGGGCCCGCAACTGAGTCCTGCCTGGGAGAGAAGCTGAGTAGCTCCATCTGTCACACACCGGTCAGCTTTCCTGTCCTGTCAGGCCCGACACGAGTTAGTCTTCCTTTGTGCCTTTGTCTTTTATCAGTGGAGGGAAGAGGGGTTTGGGATCTTTTTAAGAGACAGACTATTCTGAATAACCCAATAAAGAAAAAGGGAGAGAAAAAACACACGCTCAGGGAGCCTAAGTGGTTCAGTTTGTTAGACGTCTGACTCTTATTTCGGCTCAGGTCACAATCTCACGGTTCCGGAGATCAAACCCCACGTTGGGCTCTGCGCTGACAGTGCAGACCTGCTTGGGATTCTCTCTCTCCCTCCCTCGCGCATTCTCGCACGCATGAACAGGTGCTCTCTCACATGCTCTCTCAAAAAACAAATGTTAAAAAAGAAAAGACAGGGGCGCCTGGGTGGCTTAGTCGGTTAAGCGTCCAGCTTTGGCTCAGGTCATGATCTCACAGTTGTGGGTTTGAGCCCTGCGTCAGGCTCTGTGCTGACAGCTAGCTCAGAGCCTGGAGCCTGCTTCGGATCCTGTCTCACCCTCTGACCCTCCCCTGCTCACGCTCTCTCTCTCTCAGAAATAAAAATAAAACATTAAAAAAAAAAAGACAAGACAAAACAATCTATTCAACTCTCACTCACATGTGCTGGAATTCAGGTTTAGCCAAAGATGTCAGATGCCACAACGCCTGGCTTGGGACTCTGTCCAAGACACCAAGCAGGCATCCCTCAAAAAGACCTTTTACCTCAACCCAGGGCCAGTAGGGGAGTGGCACCCACATACACATTTGATCTCAGTTCCCACCCATGGCTGTTCGCCCCAGCCCCCCTGAGGTTTCCTCGGGCCCAGGCCTCCTTTGCAGGAAGGGGTATGCAGCCTGCACTACATGCCTCCCAGGGTCTAGGCCAACACTGGGGCCGGGTAAAGGTCAGAGGTGTTGCCTGAGATCACGCTGCCCACGGCACCCCAGCGTTAGGACACCATCCCAGCAGCTGAACAAAGTGTCTTTTATTTGTGACATACAAATACAACCAATGCAAAAAGAGATAGCTTTTCCCTTTGATTCCAGTGATAACAAGTCGCTAAAGGAAAAAAATATATATATATCAAGAAAGGGTTTATCTTCAGTTTCCTCTAAAAAAACAAAACCAGAAACGGTTAAAAAGAACCATAGGCATGTCATATACACATTTTTGACATCCACAAAAATAACCTGAAATGGGGTGGATACAACTAAAAAAAAAAAAAATCTTAAAAAAATATGTTAACATGCCCCAAACACACACACAGAAAAGCCGGGGAAAAAAGGCCTGCCCTGTTTCTCAAAACCAAGACCCAGGGAAGTGAGAATTGGATGGGCTCAACACCAGTGAGAGAGTGGCCTACTGGCCTCAGGCAGTACCTCTCCTGCCCCAGCCCCGAACCCCCACCCCCAGCGGCCCTGCAGGAAGTGACCAGCAGAAGTGGGAAGGGTAGGGTGTGGCACCAGGCGCCCCACCTGCCAGTGGGCTTGGTGACAGGCGCCCGATGAATGGAAAGAGACAACATACACTGAACTCACCGTATGAAGGATCTACAGTGGGGGTCCTTTTGATCCCCTTGAATGGGAGGTATGAGAAATCCATGATCTAAGACAATAAATATCTATCCATTCTGTGTCGAGAGATAAGGATCAGAGGAAGAAATTCCTAAACATGCTCTGCCATTCCATGATTCTTGGAGGGAGCTCGCCAACACCCTCCCACAATTCAAATTTCTGCCCCCCCCATGTAAAATCCACACCCCCCTCCCCAAGCCAGAAGGCAGGGGCAGGGGGCTTGTTCCAGTGTAAAGCTGCAAGGCCCTCTCCCACGGGGCGCCACGTCCGCTGCTGGCGGGGTCAAGAGCAACACGGAGCACTCAGGAGGGCTGGGTGGGTGACGGAGGCCGTGTGACCGGACCCGCACAAGCAGGAAAGTAGGGGAGGGGCAAGAACAGCTCCAGGGAGACCCGCCAGCACAGACCACCTGAGTCAGGGCAGAGGGTGGGGTATGAGCAGGCTCCGAGGTCAGAACAGACCTCCAAAGAGCAACTTCACAAAGGCTAGAACCTTCCAGACACTCCCTAAAGCAGAGCCCAAGGAGGATGTCCAAAGGGGAGGCGTCAGGTGCTTTTTCCTGGATAAGAATTTGGTCATTTTTCTTCCCTGGGAGGCCCAGAGATCAGGGCAAGTAGAAGCTCTGACCCACAGCTTCTCTACCCCGCGAGAGAGGAGGAAGGCCTTCTCCCCCTGCTCCAGCCCGCTGCCGAAGGGGGACCCTGGAGACAGAGAGAAAAGCAGCGGTCTGGGCCACTGAGAGGCACTCCTGCTGCAGCCGAAGCCACCCGTCAGGGCAGCGGCGCCAGGCCTCACGGAGGCAGCAAGGGGCAAGGCTGGGAGTGCAGGCGGTGGGGCCTGCTGCTGGCTGGGGGCTCTGAAGAGGCAGGGGGGCCCCGCCTTCAGAGAGGGATCAGCACCAAGATACGAGAGGAGACAGTACTGAATATGCCAGGAACCAGGGGTCTTTCTGGGGGAAGGGGAGGGGCTCCCTAATGTCATTCTCCCCCTTGAGAGTAAGAAGGGGGTGTCGGGTGAGGGGGAGCTGAGGGAGAACAAGTGGCCAGGGGCGACAGAGAGGCACCGGCAGGGCCTCTCTGGCTTGTTTCTGTGGATGAAGAGCTCAAGTCACTGTCAGGCCACGAGGCTGAGCCAGAATGCAGCAAGTCCAAAAGCCCAGAGACGCAACTCTCTTCCGGGAGGCCCCGTCCACAGCTTGCTCCTGGTCGTCTCCTCTGACAGCAACGGAGGGACGGAGCCTTCCTCCCAACGGGCTGGTCCCCTGGAACGCCTCCAGGCTCGCCGTGAGCCCGGAAAAGCACAGCTGGAAAGAGCGCCCTTGCTTCCCAGTGTCGTGGCACAAAAGGGCTTCCCAAGGTCTCCATCAGAGCGTTCATCTACGAAACGTGAGTCTCTCTGAAGCCTATCTCTCTACGCCCAGATCTACCGAATCCGTACTTCGTTGAGGACCAGCCAGACCCGGACCCAGGGCTCCAGGACTTTGTATAAAGGTGGGTACAAACACCCCATTTGTCCAGGTGTGGATGTGGCAGGGGGGAGGGAGTCGGCTTGTCAGGAATCCATCTGCAAAGAAGTTGGGGAACCTCATGGCCAAGGACACGAGGGCCAAGTGAGAAGGCAGCCACCGTGAGAAAATACGCTTCATGCCCGGCCTCCGCCAGCTCCTCCCACGGCACCTTCTCCTCTCTGCTCCTTCTGGACACTTGGCTCTTCTAGGAGAGGGGAGGAGGGGCAGCTGGGAGCGCACCCCCCCCCCCAGGGTTCTGTGCTCTCACGCTGCGGCCCAGCACGCACAGGGTGGAGGCCACAGCTCTGAGGGTACTTGGCCGGCAGCATGAGCCCAGGGAGGAGACAGGCCTTGGAGAGGGCGTTCTAACTTGGGAGCTCAGTGGCAGCAGCCACCACAGTGCCCGCCTGCATGGGAGTGCTGGCTGTCCCCAAACTTGGTCCTCCGGCTCAGGATCTCATAGGAGCAGTCCTCTCCGCAGCACCCGGACATGCTGGGGGAAGAGTCATCGATTTCAAATCTGCACAGCGGGCAAGAGAACAGGTTAGACTGCGGGTAGTGGACTGCCCCCCCCCGCCCCGCCCCCGCCGCCTGACGGCCTTTCCACCAGCCATACTCATGAGACCCCTCATGAGCCTCTTGGCCGGGGGACGCAGCCAGAGGGCACTCCCGCCATCTCACCGACCCCTGACCGCTCCCATGGACCACTGGGCTGGGAGCTCATGCTTCAGGGTGAATGAGGGCCAGGACCAGGACCAGGGCCCTGGGGCAGGCACCTACTACCACCCCCAGGGCCCCGCCCGAGGCCCAGCTCCTTACTGCAGCGCTTCTCTGAAGAACTGGTAGGCGCCGTGATTGTGTTTAAATACAGTTAACATAACTTTCTTCATCTGTGTGCTGAGAAGAAAGCAGAGAGAACAGCTTCCAGAAAGAGAAACATGCTAAACCAGGCCTCCTCTTTCATGTCTCTGCCCGCTGTCACTTGCTTGTGAGAAGCGCTGTTCTGCGCCCGACTCTCGCTCTGCGCTGGGCACCCCTGGCGCTCAGTGCTCCCCTCTGTTACGGGGCTGACCAGTCCGCACGGCTGTCAGGCCTCTCGCCTGAATGGCTGCTTCTCCGCTTCCTGTCTGCACCCCCACTTTTGGGGCATGGCAGGCATCCAGAAGCGAAGCCGCACTGAAAGGAACGTACAAAATCCGGAGTCCCAGCAGGGCGGGGACTCTTCCTGAGAGGGTTCAATCTATTTGCCTTCCTTCCAAACCGTTCGTACGCGCCCTGTCCCCCGCGGCGACACAAGGGGTGGCCCCTACCTATTGGCCATGAGCTGCAGGATCTGTATGAGGAACTTCCCCAGGCCTTTCCGCCGCACCTTGCTTTCCAGCTGCACCTCGTAGCTGGGCGAAGAAAGCAGCGAAGTGAGCCCAGGGAGGCAGGGCCCGTCAGAGGAGCCTGGGGCCCCGGCAGCCCGCAGACCCCGACGGGGACAGTGGACTCTGCCTCCGGGCCGGATGCCTGGAGCAGTGTAGGCGTCTCCTCCCCACCGCCTACCCCGAGCTGGGGCTCCTACCAGTACAGGACTTCATCCCCGCATTCCACGTCAAACCGGAAGTGAGAAAAGGCAACAGGGACGGAACTGCTTTCCCAAGCAATGAGGTACCAGGCTCGGTCGTCTGTCATTTCCTCGCGTTTCTCTCGGTCCTTCCAGCCCCACTCGCTTTGCTCGTACCTGGGGAACGTGGGGGCGGTGAGGGTGGGGAACCCCGGACGGGGAGGTGCGAGGCCCACTCCTGTCGGGGTGTGCTTACATGGTCTGCATGTTGGTTTTGGTCAGGTCGAAGGCCCAGGCCACGGTGGCCGGCTCCAGTCCAGACACTCGCTTACACTCGATGGAGACGTTTAACCTGAAAAGTGGAAAAGGAGGCACGTGGAGCCGGCTATAGGCCCCTGCACGCCCGGCGCCCCAGAGGCTGACAGGGAAGCCCGCCTGCCTGTTAACCTACAGAGAAGAGCCAAGCCTGCGCCTCTGCCTCCCGCACCGGGACTCCAGGAGGGGCAGGTGAGGGATGAAGCCTTGGGGCCGAGATTAACAACCATCACCGGCGGCCGCCACCCTGACTGCAGTCCCATTCCTGCCCCCACAGGAGGCCCTTATCAGCCTCAGCACTTCATACACTTCTGTCCCTCTCTGCTACTTTTGTGCTTTCTCAAGCCGCTCTTCTGTGTTCTGTTATAAACACTAAAGTCTTCTGGATTCCTTTAGTTCCTGCCCTTAGGCATTTAATCTCTGGGACCTTGAAAGTGGCTGGGTCACCTCAGACCCTTTGAGAAGTCTGTGGCCCATAACCCTCCTGAGGAGTGTGCCTGCCATTTCCTTTGAGGACAGAGTGGACGCTCTTGGCTGATCAGACGGGGTAGAATGGGGTCCAACTCCGTGATTCCCTAAACAACTATGTTCTACGTGTTAAGTTATCTTAATCTATTCACTTCTAAGGAAAACTTTAATAAATCACAGTTAAGCTCCTTGGCCAAACTGTGAAATCCCAGTCTCTAGGGAGTGCTGGATTCAGACAGGACTGAAGTCAGCGATGCTAAATGCTCACAGAGTTCCCATATCTTCCAGTGGCCTTTGACACGACCCCTCACAGGGTGTCCCCACAGGAATCGACTGTCACCTCTGCTGTCTGGCACGCCATGTGACCTGCACATGTGCTCAGCTTTAGAAATTTGGAACTTCTCAGCTCTGAAGAGTCTTCTTTCCCCTGAGCACTGACCACACAGTCGTCAGAAATGCCCAAACACAGGGGCGCCTGGGTGGCTTAGTCGGTTAAGCGTCCGACTTTCACTTGGGTCATGATCTCGCGGTTTGTGGGTTCGAGCCCCGCGTCGGGCTCTGTGCTGACTGCCAGCTCAGAGCCTGGAGCCTGTTTCAGTCTGTGACTCCCTCTCTCTCTGACCCTCCCCTGCTCACGCTGTCTCTCTCTCTC